AACTATTTTATATAATTTTCTTCCTAATTTTTTGGCTTAAAATATGACCCATTTTTGTGCTATTCATCTTGCTGATATTAAATGCATCGTTCATGATGATCCTTTTAAAAAGACTCTTTTGGTTTGTGGCAATTGTTTATTGGGTGTTTCTGTATCTTGTTGCTGTTTACAGATTGTCTCCATGTCCCAGAAGCCTCCACTTTGCAATATGGAGCAGGATGGGCAACCTAACTACACATGGCTGATTGACAGCTCTCCACCATCAGCTAATAGATCGGCCGTCAGTGTCTCTCTTCTATTGACCAAACCAAAATGGTGTAGAACCAACCCGACCTCTTTGCTTACAGGCTTCCTCTCCTCTTCTTCTCTCTCATGTTCTCATATTTTCTCTCCTACACTTTTTAAATGTTCTCGTGGACATGAGAGCTACAGCCTGGTGCGAATTCACACCATTTGGTTGACCAATCAGAGACCGGATCAGCCAGCCACACCATTGTCAGCTCCTGCGTCCTTCCTTCACAGTTCCACTCACACACATTCAGTGCTGCACAACTTTCTCTGGTTCAGGCTCCTCGTGATTGAGGCTAATGTATCGTCTGTGTGGTTTAAATGGGTCTTTTTGTTTCTGTGTACTGAAATTTCTTTTGTATTTTAACCTGGGCAACAGACGAGTCCGTCTGGTGGCCTTATGGGTTCACTTTAAAATTTTCTATTTACTCCATGTATTTATTTTTTAATATACATTTTAATACCCCTCTGTAGCTGGTGAGGTTCCTTTCCCGCAGTGAAGCTGGTGGTATAGAGTGGACGGACCACAAAGGGGCCAGAATCCCAGCATACATCGCTCATGGCAAACTGACTCCACAGCGTGGTTTTTACTCATACATGTGCTCACAGCGGGACCCTGTGAACTTCACCTGTTTGTCTGCTATATTGATCTCTTTAACTGTACAATACTGCCTCCCCCTTTATTGTGTCTTCTGTTTCTAAGCTGTGAAATAACTAAAATAATCGTGTAAATGTTTCCATGCGATTCTTCAGAAAGACTATGAAATGACCGCAGATGGTTTGAGTCTGAAAGTTATCACCAGTTATTTTTATCAACTCTTTCATAAAGCCACAACAATGAAGTGCCAGACTTTGGGGGTTTCATGCATTCTGAGCATGAACTTTGACTCTTGAGGATGTTGTTTTGACTCATGAATGGAGATCATGCTTAGAAATGCTTTGTCTCTTTTGAAAAGGTTGGTTATACTTTGCTGCAAATTTTTTTTTTCTGATGGTTCAGATGGTGTTTTGTAAGTGAAAAGT